CCAATCCCCCAATCGGCCCTACCCTGAGCGTGACTGAGGGTGGCATCGCAACCTCCCGATCCGCCCTGCTCTGTGCATGACGGGGCGGCGCCCCAACTCCCCAATCGGCCCTGCTCTGAGCCTGACCAGGGGCTGCACTTAGGGATTGGGCCTGCCCTCTGCCACCCGGGAGCAGGCCTAAGCCAGCAGGTCGTTATCTGCCGAGGGGTCCCAGACTGCGAGAGGGCACAGGCCGGGCTGGGGGACCCCCCTCCCCACGCCCCCCGAGTGCACAAATTGTTATGCACCGGGCCTCTAGTAAATAAATAATTAAATAAACAAATAAATGACCAAAGACTAAAGTGATGAGGGAGAAGTTAATAGACATGAAGGATCAGAACTTCATAGGAACACCATTATTCCTTTACCTACTGAATTTTAAAAATCAACAAAATAAATGTATTAAGAAGTCTTTCTGATCTTATGAATTATCAGCGTGTGCTGTTTCAAAGGACTGAACATTATCAAAAGTCCATGAAAATCCACACATGACATATAACATTTTAGAATCTCAATAATTAAGAAATGTATCTTCATATTTAAAAATTCAGGGTTTTAAGCAAAATAAAACCTATTATTCATATTTTTCTGAAATACTAAGTACTAGAACCTCTGGAATCTATATCTATATTATTGAGGAAAGAAAGCTCCCAGAATTTTTAATATGGCCATTTTTTTTTAATTTTAATGTAAGTTAAAGTTATTCAGAGAGAAGCAAGGGCTCAGAAAATTTGCCCTGTACACAACTTTAAAAAAAAAACATATTACTTGCTATTGTATTCAAGTTAATTATGAAATTAACGTAGGTTATAAAGCATCATCAAATAGGAAGAAATTATTTTTTTTTTAGCAGGCTTAATTCACTTTATTTTTCTTGTATATAATTATGTGGTGGCCACAGCTGGAGCCTGGGTCCTCTGCACAGAAACTCTGGTGTGGGTCTTGACAAGATGGTCAGTGAATTCCTGGTAGGGAGACTTGGTGAACACGGTCTCTTTCCAGAGATCTGGGGTGAGATAGCTGTAGGTCTTAGAGATGGCATCAAAGGTGGCCTTGGCGAAGTTGCCCAGGGTGGCAGTGCAGCCCCTGGCCGAAGTGTAGCAGTCGTCAATACCAGCCATCATCAGCAACTTCTTGGGCACAGGGGCCGAGACAATGCCCGTACCCCTGGGGGCAGGGATGAGGCGCACCAGTACAGAGCCACAGCGGCCAGTCACCTGAAAGGGTTGGAGTCAGAAGGCTGGGGCTGGAGAGACTGTGCCACTGAAGACCCCATCAGTCACCGTCACCCAGCCTACCTTGCAAGGTACGGTGTGGGGCTTGCCGATCTTGTTTCCCCAGTAGCCTCGCCGCACAGGCACAATAGAGAGCTCGGCCAGGATGATGGCTCCACGGATGGCAGTGGCTACTTCCTTTGAGCACTTCACACCCAGACCGACATGTCCATTGTAGTCCCCAATGGTGACTACGATGTTTACCAAGATGTTTTTTCACTTAAATTGTCATTTGAGATGTGAGCTGAAAGACAGGGAGCCATTCATGGATCTGAGAAGAGTAGAGAGGAAAGGCCTGGTTGGTGTGAGATGAGACCAGAGATTGAGGCAGGGCTCACGCACAAAAGACCTTGCCAGCTAGAGGAAGATGTAAAACTTTTAATCTCTGTGCAATGACATGCCATTGAAAACTTTTAAGCAGGCAGTTAGTTTACAGGATTTAGATTTTGGAAAGATTCCTGGGGCTTCAGTGTGAAAGAGATTTCTGGAGTAGAAGTAGTTATAGGAAGGTAAGATGGGTGAATTATAGGAATCTAAGAGAGATGTTATTGGGGCTTAGTTATTGGACCATAGTGAGGTTGGCAAGAAGTAGAAATATGTGGACTACATTCTGGATAATAATTGATAAGGTATGATGTGGACTGGACATCAAGAGTTAAAAAAAATCGTGAAATCAAGGATAACCTCTTGGACTTGGCTTCAGCGACTGGGTGAATGATGATGCCTCTCAAAGACAGAAGATGTTATCTAAGAAATACATTTATAGGAGGAGAAGGAAAAAGAAACCTGCTTTTGAAATGTTAAAGCTGGAAACACTTATTAGATATGAAGCAGCAGTGAAGGTTGAGCATCTGTTAGACATTGTGAATGAGCTAATGCTTTGTGTGAGGGCAGCGCCAAGGGGTATCACCGATGTTCCAGACGGAGAGAGGATAATACCACGCTCCCTGAGGTAGCCTAGGAATCTAACTTGGGACACTGGTAAGTGACCTGGGGACTCCCTGTTATCTGAGGTATTCAGTATTCGAGTAGAGAATGCAAAAGGAATGCATTCCACAGAAAATAGTGATTATAAAGCCAGAAAACTTCTGTTGTTGAAACTGCTATTTTGGGCCTTTTTCTTCTTTCCTTTTAAGCTAGTACAACTTCAGGCACAGTTGTGTGTTATTAAGTAATTGAATGCTTTAAGAGATTCAATGGGAAACATGTGTACATGTCCCAGAATTAATCTTGAACAAATATCAATTAGGAAACTGTAGTTACCTTGTCTAACACATTGCATTATACGTATAGAAAAGATAGGCAAGGATCCCAGGTTTAAAATAAAACTAAAAAGTATACAAAACATTTTTAAGTTGATATACATTTTCCAGAAGTGAAAATTATTTTATATTTTCCATTTTTTCTATATTACTTTTTTAATTAAAAGGACTGCATGAAAACATTTAAATTTTTTACTCTTGCAAGTATAGAATGCTTGTTACTTTTTTTTGGAAATTGAGTTTGTTGTGTAAATTTGCATTCAGCAATTTCTTTATATGAGGTCTATATGAAGGAAATGCAAACAGTGATTTAGGCTAAAGGATATTTATGACAACACTAGGTACAATGCTGAGAAATTATAAACAAATTAAATCCCCAAGATATGGGAGACTTAAAAGAAAAAGATGCATCTTAACACATAGAGAATAATGGGATGAAAATTAAGGTTGTTAAGTGTCTTCAGAACAAGGAAAATGTTTATAATTGCTGTTAACTGACAACACCAATATACAAATTATATTTTTAGTATAATCACAGATGTTTAAAATAGTCACTAAGAACTCAATATACTATGACTTCATGTTAACTATAGTTACTCCTGAGTTTTGGAATAAACTACTGTATTTCTTCTCTTTTATCCATTATACTAGTGGCCCAATGCATGAAATTCATGCAGGAGGGGGGTTCCCTCAGCCCAGCCTGCACCCACTCCAATCGGGGACCCCTTGGGGGATGGCTGACTGCCGGTTTATGCCCAATGATCAGGCATAAACCAGCAGTCAGACATCCCTCTTGCAATCTGGGACCGCTGGCTCCTAACTGCTCACCTGCCTGCCTGCCTGATTG